AAGTTTCTTTGAGAGACTTGGATGGTAAAAGAGCTTTCTTTAAAGGGAAGTGATATAGGTCCTGGGGCCACCTTCTTAGACACCAAGATTTGATATAAAGCTGTACTGAATAAAACAGTGGAACACTATGGACAGATAGATGCATACAGATAGAACCATGGAGAAAGCCGAGAAGAATGCATATGGCAGAAGTAGGTATTAGGCTTATTTGTGGATGTAACACCATGAGCTAAGATCGGGAGAGTCATTGTGAGGGTGCTGTCAGTAGTGATCCCTGCAGCAGGAGGTAAAGATATATGGATAGAAGACAAAGATAGAAATGGTTTTACAGTTTGAGAAGAAAATATTGGTTGAGAGCTATTAAGTCATATTAAACCCAAACCAGAAGAAATTATTAACACAATTGATTAAAATTGCAAAGAAAATAATAAAGTTATTTATTTTAAAATTGTAACCACATATATAAAATATTCCACAAATTATGAAAAGTAAGAGACCCTATAATTAAAAAAGTAAATTAAACTGGGTGTAGTAGCATATGGCTTTAGTTCCAGCATTACAGAGGGGGAAGCAGTGGATTTTGAAGGTAGCCTGATAAATACAGTGAATTCTCGGATAGCCAGGGTTATGCAGTGAACCCCAGTGAAGATGAGAAGAGGGATAATTCAGTGGTGCAATAGAAGACAAATGGCAATAAGGTGAAAAAAAATGTTGTCTCAAAAAATTTTAATATGCAAATGACACAGTTATCAGATTAATATATTAAAAAGAAATCAAAACAATTTCAAGATAGTAAAAGAAGTGCACACCAGTGTTCCAGCTCCATGAATAGTAAGACTTGGAAGACAATTTATCAATAAGCAATGATAAGCAGTGAGACAGAGCATTCATAAGAGCAAGGTGGTTTGTTTTCTAACTTTCTTTTTATTTTTTATGTCTTTCACGTCATGCTTCTCCATCCCATTCATTTCTCTGTCCCTTCGTTTCTACCCTCTGCCCTTGCAACTTCCCCACCAAAATAAAATAAAATTTAAGAGAAGAAAATAAAGAAAAAAGAAAAAGAAAAAGGAAACACCAATCTCATCATGGAAGCTCTAGTGTGACACAGTGAGTCACACAGGAAACCTTTTTATCCACATATCTTTACTTGCCTGTGTCCATTGCAAAGAGTCATTGGTCTGGTTTCTGCTACACTGTTGATGCTGCTCTTACTGGGACTCCTTTTGGTTATCTTGTGGTTACCCTGTGTCATGAAGATCCTGCAGCTTTGGGTCTGCATGACCCGTCCCTTCCTGTGCTCCCACAGATCACAGATGGAGTAGATGTAGGGGGAAGCTAACACAACCCTGATTCTGGCCCTGAGTAGCTGCAGGGTGGATCAGCCTGCCAGCTCTCCCTTGTCTTCACTCCAGTGTGAGCTCCCTTGTCTTCACACCAGTGTGAGTTCCCTTGTCTTCACTCCAGTGTGAGCTCCCTTGTCTTCACTCCAGTGTGAGCTCCCTTGTCTTCACACCAGTGTGAGCTCCCTTGTCTTCACTCCAGTGTGAACTCCCTTGTCTTCACACCAGTGTGAGCTCCCTTGTCTTCACACCAGTGTGAGCTCCCTTCTCTTCACTCCAGTGTGAGCTCCCTTGTCTTCACTCCAGTGTGAGCTCCCTTGTCTTCACACCAGTGTGAGCTCTCCTGCAGTGCTTTGGCAAGTTCATCCCTTTCATCAATGAGCCAGGGGCAAGGCCAGTTCTGCTTTCATGTCCTCAGGGTGGGATCTCCCACACTTACACCTTCAGGGTCAGCTCTATTGTGTTGCTCAGGCATGGCATAGGGGCCACTCTCCTGAGTTCAGGACAGGGATTTGTATGGCAGTTTATATCATATATTTTAGTTCCTTGTACCTACAAGGGATGCTCAGTTTATTATCTCAGAATGAAAAATGAAAACAGTATAAATAACCATAAATATTGAGTAATGATAAAATTATATTAAGAATTTCAATTAATGTTAGAAAATGTCAATATTAGAATAGGGCTCTTGATCTTTATGTCTACACACAGTGTTAAATTAGCATGAGTTAATCACTTAAATCCTAATGTACTTGATTATATCAGAGCCGAAATTCTTTCTCATAGTTTTGCAGTATTTCCTGAGATTTCATATGTTAATCTGTAGATCTGAAAGAGGTAGAGGTGTATGTGTAAGGAATAATGATTTTGCCAATGATGCACCCTTTTCTGTTTCAAACATACTTTCTGATGTCTCCCTGAAGCAGAATTACACTCTTAAAGCACACAGTTCAGTGACTTTCAGCAAATATAGACTGCACAATGATCACCATGGTCTAATCCTGGAGCATTTCCATAGCTTTCCCAAGAAGAAGACTTGAGTTCATTTCTAGTTGCTTCCTTTTCCTTCTCCCATTGTAGTCAACCAACACTGTCCTCTGTCTCTATGTAGCTGCCTGTTGGGACACTTCTTAGAATGAAATCATATTTATACATACACACACACACACACCACTGCCTCTATTGTGTCAGGATCTGATGGATGTAATGATGACAGATTTACCCATATTTTAGAATGGATCAATAGTATGACTTTTAAATAGCAGAATAATATTCTATTGCATGCTAGATCATATTCTGTTGATCTATTCACTTTTGGGTGGGTGTGTTTGCCCTTCTTGCTTCTTATCAACAATGCTGTTATGACTATACATGTAGAATTTGGTGTGGACACAGCTATTAAACTGCATAGAACTGCTGGACTATCTTTATTTAATGTTTAATTCTCTTAGAAATTGCAACTGTGTCCAAATATCCATATCACTGTCCAATTCCATGGAAAATACAGGAAGGTTCTAGTTTTTATGTATTTTTAACATCAACTTGGCATTTCTGTTTTGTTTATGCTAGCTCAGCAGGCATCTCATGGTTTAGAGTGACCCATGCCTTTGGGCATTTCTTCATCTTTTTAACCATCATTGGTACATCTTTGAACACCTGTATTAAAACCTTTACCTATTTTTTCATTAGTTACTATCTTTGTGGAGTTACAAAGTATCTTTATATACTACATATATGTCACTAGTTGTTCTTTCATTTAAAAGTATTATCTCCCATCCTATGGGCTTTATTTTCACTTTCGTTACCATATTGTTTGAAGCACAAAGGTTTTTAATATCAAACAAGTCCTGCTTATCCAGTGCTGTGTTTTGATATTGTAGCTAAGAAATTATTGCTCAACGTGGATTGAGAAATTTTCTTTTAAATCAGAAGTTCTCAACCTATGAACTGTGACCCTTTTGGGGAATGTATATCAGATATTTACAATGTGATTCATAACAGAAGCAAAATTACAGTTATGAAGTAACAATGAAATAATTTTATGGCTGGGGTCCTCACAACATGAGGAACTGAATTGACAGGTTGCAGCATTAGTAAGGTTAAGAACGACTGTTCTAAGTAGTTTTCATCCTTATCCTTAGGTCTGCAATCCACTCTGTTAATTTCTGGGCATGGCATGACTTAGGGGCTCATTTTCACTTTGATCGTCCCAGCACCATTTGGTGAGATTTCTGACCCTTGAACTTTCCGGGGACTATCCAGAAGAGAGGCTTATTTCTAGGATGTCTGTTCTAATCTGTTAACAGCGTTTGACTTTGGTTAGTGGAGCTTTGAGCTATTTCAAAGCAGAATAATGTCAGCCTTCCAATTAACTTGTTTATCGTGTGTGTGTGTGTGTGTGTGTGTGTGTGTGTGTGTGTGTGTGTAGGGGGGTCTTTTTCATTTCTTTAAGGACTTCCTTCCTCTCTCTCTCTTTTTTCTTCCTCTCTCCCTTCTTCCTTCCTTCCTTCCTTCCCTCCCTCCCTCCCTCCCTCCCTCCCTCCCTCCCTCCCTCCCTTCTTTCTTTCTTTCTTTCTTTCTTTCTTTCTTTCTTTCTTTCTTTCTTTCTTTCTTTCTTTCTTTCTTTCTTTCTTTCCTGTCCTTGTTTATTTGTTTGAGACAGTGTTTCTCTGCATAGCCTGCCTTGGGTATTCTGAAACTCCCTCTGGAGATAAGCTGGCCTTCAACTCAGAGATCCACCTGTCTCTGCCTCCTGAGTTCTGGGATTAAAGGTGTCTGCTACCATATCTGGATAAATGGCCAGTTTCTCCAACAAAGAAATCTGAGATTCAAAGGAGATTGTATTTGTAGAATATGCCTCTGATCCATAATGATAAGTCAACTTTCCACTTATTTGAGTCTTTGAAAACTTCTCTCACCACATTTTATTGTTTTCAGGGCATGATCTTGTATTTCTTTGACAAATTTACTTCAAAGTATTTTATCCTAAATAGAACTGTTTTAGGAGATTTTTGCTAGTTTAGGGGAAAAACTATTTACAGTATTTATTTATTTGGTGTGTGTGTGAGAGAGAGAGAGGAGGAGGGAGAGAGGGGGAGGAAGGGAGAGAGTGTGTGTGTGTGAGAGAGAGAGAGAAAGAGAGAGAGATAGAGAGAGAGAGAGAGAGAGAGAGAGAGAGAGAGAGAAAGAGAATGTGTGTGTGAGAGAGAATGAGTGTGTGTGTGCGTTTGTGAGAGGGGGAGAGTATGTGTGTATGTGTGTGTGTGTGTGAGAGAGAGAGAGAGGGAGAGAGAGAGAGAGAAACTAGAAAGTTTTACTTCTTTCTCAATTCATTTGTTTACTTAGATCAATTTATTTTCTTGTGTAAATGTCCTGGTTAGAAGCTATATTATAATATCAAATAGAAGTCGTGGAGTAGGCATGATTTTCCAACAGTGAAGGAAACATTTAATTATTTTCACTTAAGCATGAACTTAGTCAACTTAGTTGCTAGTTTGCATAGATACTCTTTGTTAAGCAAGTTCTTGTATGTCACTAGGATGTTGAGTCCGTTATTATCAATGTAAGGAAGAGTTTGTCAATTGCTTGTTCTTCATTTACTGAGATGACCATGTAGTTTGTATTTTCTGGTGAATTAATGTGATATTTTAAAATTTCTAGGTCTTCGGTTTTGTTGGTGAAGCCTGTAAAAAGGTGACATTAAATGTGCCTTCCACACTAGAGGCTGACAAGATAATTGGAAGAGGTGAGGACTTTCTGCACAGCTGCTTTGAAACAGATGTGGAGTGTCCCTAGTTTGCAAGAAGGGTAGTGTGTCATCTTTGCCCTCTGGACCTAGTCTACATTGACTTAGAAATGGAGACAATTCGGTATTATTTAAAACACACATTTTTGCCCTTATATCTGTTGGATTTGATGGTTAACTCTAGTGTGAGTTTTCCAATCCACGTTTTTTCAATCATTAATCTTTCAACAGTTTAAAATATCACATTCTTAACACTCTGAGTACAAGAATCACATAAGTATAGGTGAGTATTGAAGAGAAACACTACTGCAATCCTTGATTTTAAACTTAGATTTTACTTATTTACGTGTGTGTGTGTCTGTGTCTCTGTGTGTGTCGATCAGAGGACAACTTGTTGTATTTTGTTCTTTTTTTCTACCCTGTGAGTGCCAGGGATAAACTTGGGGTATCAGGCTTTGCAGAAAACACCTTTATCCATGAAGTCATCTTGACAGCCCTGGAGCAGTATTCTAATCAGTGTTACACCTTTACTGAGAAGTGTAACAAAGTGTACCATTCTCCTCTGGACTGGACATAGTCAGTCATTTTAAACTGTAGACCCGAAAAACTGATTGACCTTCAGTTTCTCCCAGAAGCCAAGCAGTTCTGCCCTGGTGGTTTTGTTTGTTTGTTTGTTTGTTTTTAATGTGGGTTTGAAGAAATTAGAGGAAACCACCACAAGTTTTGATTAAAAAAAATCTAAATACTTTTTCAAAAATATGGAAATGGCCTTTTCAACAAAGTGTTTAGTCAGATTAATTTCAGTTTTTCTACTGTGAGGAAGAGGAAAAGAAAGATGTAATTAGAGGTAGCCTGTTCCTCTGGGAGAAAAAATCAGACAAAATCATTCAGCTAAGAATACAAAGATCAGAGAAATAAATTGTTATCTCTTAAAACATTCAAAATGACACTTCCGTCATTTTGTTTAGTCTGCCCATGACAGACTCAGGTTAAACAAAGATACACGCGAAGCAAAGGGCCCTGAGGTGAGGTCATTGTTTGGGCATTGTCAGTTTGATTTCTGTAAAAGCAGATGAAGAACGGGATGGGAAACAGTTGTGTTTTGATACTTAAAAAGTCATCACCTTTTATTAGGAGGCAAAACCCCACATAGGAAAGATGCCATGTGGCGTTCCCATAGAGGCCCAGGGGAAGCTGTGTCTTTGGGGCTGGAATGTACCAGAGTGCTATGGGAAGAACTCAGGGACTGGTTTTCCTTACTTGACTATCAGCCCATATGTTCCTCTGTTCTTTGTGTTTCTCTATGTGTCTTCTGACTATAGGCAGGTGCCTCTGAAGACACTGTCAGTGCATTGTTGAGGGAAATTCCACTGTGTTGATTCAGGTGCACCTTGCGGGTGTGTGGCTCACTTTTGTCATGAGAGCTATGTGTGCTAGTCTTTGGTGGACAATCATTTCATAAGCCTACTAGAAGCTTGTTAACATTTAAAGCTTCTTGTTCAACAAAAATATACAGTCAAGAACCATCACTGTAAATTAAAATGAGAGTATTATTTTTAAGAATGAGAGAGGACTGTTAAGGTATTCTACTAGTGCCAGCTGCTTGGCTTTCATGCACGGAGAGTATTTTAACATATATGTTTCCTTTATGCATGTGTCTCCACCTGACAACTGGAACATTTCCGCGGGCAGTTAATTTGAAAGAGTGTCTCAGCTCTGCTGATGGAATCAGGCCAAGCGATCCCGATTTCCGAGTTCTAGATGATGGGTCAGTTTATCCAGCCAGAGCTCTTGTGCTGTCTGGCAAGAAAAGATCATTTACCATTCAGCTTTCTGACTCAAAGACACAGACACAGAAAGAGATCCCGGTAATGCTGGAGCACCAGAAAAAGGTACGCAAAGCGCAGCGGACATTCTCAAGCCTGGGGCTTTTTCTAGTAACATTTCTTCCCTTAAAAAAATAGTATCTTTTATCTCCCCTTCTGTCCCCCTTCCTACCAGCCCTCTCTCCACCATTCCGTTCTCTTCCTCCTCTATTGTCCTGTTTTGTTCCTATTATTTTTCTTCTCGTCTTCCATTCTTTTGCATTGTCTTTTGTTTCTAAACTTTCTCAATACCAGTTCAATGCTGGCTTTGGTTTTTCTGGTGTTAAATGTAATGATATCCTCCTTCGTGAAGCCTTTGTCTAGCTCTGATTTCTACCTAAGACAGTTGTGTTCCAGGGTTGGTTTGAGACCCCTTTCATCACAGCCTTTAGGATTTCTTATTAGTGCAAGCACTTACTCATGAGAAATAGCATTGTAAATGTAGTCACAAAATGATGGACAATTTCAATTGGCCTACACCTAATCTATGCTAATAAATTGATAGTAAGGTTAATTAAATGACTGCTTAGTACTTTATTGAATATTTAATAAAGTTATTAGTTGTTAATAATTATCATGAAACCTAGTGTCTCCCTTTGCTACACTGAAATAAAATTATTACTTCTAAAGCATCTGGTGGAACATTTTGCAATGATAGAAATATTCTAGAATGTTCTGTTATCTCCAGTATCTGGTGTAGTGACTTGGATGCTGGGTGCTTAACATAAAACTAGTGCAAAAAAAAGATAGTTTTCCATTTAAATTAATTTTAGTTAACGCAGATTATCCCATGCCTAGTGGCAGCCAGTGGCTACCATATAGGACAGCACATGTAAAAGGAGCAGAAAGGGACATTCATTTTCGACTGTGATGCTCCTAATACTTATTTTCTCCTTTAAATTCAGGTCCTGAAGAAAAGACATACCAAGAATACTGTCCTCAGGAGAGCCAAGAGAAGATGGGCACCCATTCCTTGCTCGATGCAAGAGAATTCCTTGGGTCCCTTCCCGTTGTTTCTTCAGCAGGTGAGTGTTCTTTCCTTCTTTGTGTGGTCCAGCTAAGTGGAGGGTCTGTTTGACTCAGATGTAGCAAATAGTTAAGCACTGAAAAAAAATAAGTAGAAGCCAAGGCAGTGGTGGAGCATGCCTTTAATCCCAGCACTTGGGAGGCAGAAGCAGGCAGATTTCTTTGAGTTTGAGGGCAGCCTGAGCTACAGAGCAAGTTCCAGGACAGGCTCCAAAGCCACACAGAGAAACTTGTGTCAAGAAAAGCCAAAAAAAAAAAGCAGATATGACTAAAGTTGCTGATGAAATACAACACAATTCAAATGAATATAATCTGAAAATGACTGATGTGCTATCGGTGTAGGACAACTACAGCCTTTGCATGCCTTTAATTACTTATTTCGTCATTTACAAGATGGTTATTGGGTATCTGTATCTATTATGTGGTGTTGTAGGTACTGCTATATGCACTGGAGATGGAAAGAAATTGAATCCTGGTCTTCAGAATAGCTACATTTCACTGGAATTCTAGAAATCAGCTTTAACAAGGGAGATGCTCACTCCTCTCCCGTGAACGTGTTCACCAGCGAAGCAGTTCTAGAGTACTAAGACAGCATCGAGAGCTAAAGCTTCCTCTTTTCTTTCCTTCATGGAAGGGGCGCTAGAAGTGAGATGAGATCTCAATATGTAGCCCATGCTGGCCTCCATCTTGTGATCCTGCTGCCTCAGTCCCACAAATGTTAGAACTATAGACTTAGCTTGGTCACCTTTGCATGGTCAAAATGGTTATCCCTGTGTTCAAAAGTAAGACTGCTTGCTTCCCTCTATAGAGCCCAAATCTTCACGAATCTTCACTATTTGTTCACACAGTCTATTATGTCATAATTATTTATACTATTACTTATATTGCTACATTTTGTTATTATATTGTTTTATTGTTCATATTATTCTGTGTATTTTTTGACTGCCCTTGTGTAGCCATGCTTAAGTGTAGTTTCCATAGAGTTTCTTCACACCATCTTTGGACTCAGCTGTAAGGAAAATGGTAGGGAAGGGTCTGCAAAATGGCTCAGTGGTAAAGGTACTTGCCACAATGCCTGACACCTGAGTCCTATCCCTGGGACCCATATGTTGAAAGGAGAGACTTCATTCTTGCTAGTTATCCTCTGAGTTCCATCCATGTACTATGGCCATATCCCTACCAACTGTATTATATTGCTCTTTTTTACTGAAATATTGTCATTAAGATTAAACTATGCAAAATACTTATGTATATGTATCACAAATTAGCACTTAAGTTGAATTTTAAGTGCTTACTTCTGTGTATTTTTCTTTCAGGTTCAGTCTGATGCAGCCCAGAATTACACCGTCTTATACTCAATAAGTGGGCGTGGAGTTGATCAAGAACCATTGAATTTGTTTTTCATAGAGAGAGACACTGGGAATCTGTTCTGTACCCGGCCTGTGGATCGTGAGGAATATGATGTTTTTGATGTAGGTGCTTTATCAATAAATATGGCCCTATATTAATGAACCATCTGTCTCCTGGGGCCTCACCTGCTCTTTTCTTCCTGCACTATCTTCTTAGAGGGTGTTGTAAAGTCAGAAAACAATAGCATACACTGTGCGTTGGCATGCTTGCTCAATCCTTTATCTCAGCTTTGGTTAGGCAACCCTGAAATGAAGCAAAGAGGTTTAATTGTTTGTGAACATAAAACTCAGTGCAGGCAGCTGTAATAGTTGGGTTCAGCTTGTTAGACATCATCTCTGTTTACTAGAACATTTTCAGTTTTCCAGACAGATTCACAGCTGAGCTTCCGCTATGGCTGTTGCCTTTCTCCCATGTATGCTACTCTCTGATCATGTCTGATAAGCAGATAAAGGAATAAAAGTGAGAAACAAAGCCTAAGTAAAGGGCTAATAGCTCAGTTTTCGGGTCTGGATAAGTCTACACTCAGTGGGGCATTGACTTCAACAGGTTCCGCTATAGAACAGAATGTGCTTTGCTTTCATGAACCAAGTTCAGCAAGAAGGATCCCATTGGGAAGATGGAGTCTGTTTCTAGAGGACAAAAGAGGTGCAGAGGAACCAATCTGACTGTTGTCCTCATGTCACATTCTTTGCTTTGGGCTATAAGACATTCAATTTGATGTAATTACATACTGAGCAGAACTAGATTCTGTCTGATCTTGCATTTCCTTTGGTTAATGATCAATGAAGAAATTAATAAGTGTGTTTTGTAAAAAAATCTGTTTAAACATACAATCTATGGGGTATGCAATAAGAATCCAGAAACAAGACTGGGAGGTTGCTTTTCATATAATGCAGATTTTTTTCCAATGGTCATGAATTGACCATCTCCCAATGAACCTTACTGATGACAACAAGATTAAAGACTGTGACCTGAGTCACAAGTACACCCAATGCCTCAGAATAATGCATGTGTGACTTCATCTCCATCTTCTCTACATTCTGCCCTGTTCTCTGTCTCAAACAGAACTGTTTCCTCCCTGTCCCGGGGGCTGTTGCTTCAATTATCTCAGTGTGGAGCACTGGTGGGCTAGCTTTCTGCTGAAAGGACTTCAGGGAAGGGTGCGGGAGCATCCGTCTCCCCTGTGCTGTGATGTTGTCTGGCTGCTGACGCTGACTGTCTCTCTTCCACAGCTGATCGCCTATGCGTCCACGGCGGATGGCTATTCAGCAGACCTACCGCTCCCACTGCCCATCAAAGTAGAGGATGAAAATGACAATTACCCTCTCTTTACAGAAGCGATTTATAATTTTGAGGTTCCAGAAAGCAGTAGACTTGGTAAGACTGTTTCTATGCCAAACATGTTTGTGTATATTTTTGAGACAGTGAGATTTTTTATTTTTTTGTTTTATTTACATTGTGTGGGTACATGCCTACATTTGTGTGTATGTTTGTGTGTGTGCTTGTGTATTCATGTGTGTGTGCATGTGAAGACTAGATTACAATCTCCCCTGTCATCTTCAAGTTACAACTTAACTTGTTTTTTTGAGAGAGTGTTTTTCTTAGTGGCCTGGAGTTTGTCAAGTAGAGTAGGCTGGCGGCCACTGAGCGCAACAGATCCACCCGTCTCCGACTCCTGCTCTACAGTTCTGAGTACAGCATCATCACCAACTTCTTTCTATATGTGGATCCTGGGGATCAAACTCAGGTCCTTGTGCTCACAAGACAAACATGCTTATCAGTGGACGTTTCTCCCCCATTGGAGTTTTTATATTCATGGCCAGTCAATCATGAGATAACACAGATCTGGGACCTACTTACCAGAAAACATTAGTCAAATCCCATCAATTCTAATCAACATGCCTCTAACCAGATACTACAGAAATTTCTGGTCAATGTGACACTAATTATCAATTATGGGATGCAGCCATTAGTCAGACTTTGTATGCTGTTTGTAATATGCATTGTTTGGTTTTTATCCTATCTTCCTTTTCAAGAGGACCCATAGGGTAGAAGGAACAGTAAATACAGATGTAGTATAGATATTTCAGCGGGACTGTGGGAAAGTATTAAATGATAGAGACAGGGAATGCAGTTTTTAGGTTCTTTTTAAATGTCTATTTTCTTGGACTACTTAATTACATATAATTTAGAATACATATTAGAATAATTTGAAGGATGCATAGGTCACACAGGTTCTATCCTAAGCATTCCCCTTCAACGTGAAAGAAAATTGTTTTATTTCTGTGGCATTGTCTTATTTTGATTCTGAGGCTTGCATTGTGAAGTGTGCACACCACCATAAGGCAAGACCGGAGGCTCTGTTATAAAAGATAGCTAATAATTTTTCTGCTAAGATTTCTGGTCATTGCTTGTGTCCTTACTGTATTATATACCTGAGTTTCCTTTTCTTGTGTTACTGTGACAATTTGATATGTACAGTGTCAACATCCTGTTGGTGCACATGTGAAATTAAGTTAAGATGAACAGTTAAGAGTTTAGGAAACACTTTCTCACACATGTTCTATTTTAAAGTCACTGAGAGAGGAGTTGCGGCAGCTTTTGAATTCTCTCACTGGTATACACACACACACCATGTCAAAGGAACATGAGATGTGTGTGTGTGTGTGTGTGTGTGTGTGTGTGTGTGTGTGTATTTCTAAGCCTCATGGCTCTATGGCCCCATTGCATTTTTCTGGTTTCTAAGAGAAACAATTGACTTTGATTTTTCCTTGAGATGAAGGACGAACACGTAGGCTTCCATTAATCTGGGTTACTTGAAGCACCCCTTACCATTAGGTTCTTACTTATCCATGTTGTGAAGCTCTTGAAGGAAGACAAATCAAAATAAATCAAATCAGAGTAGACAGAGCAAAACAGTGAGCAAGAAAGAGACAAAGAGAAATGTCTTCAAATGAGTAGAAGATTAAAGGAAAGAGTGAACTAAAAAAGATCACCCTGAGGGCTTATGACATGGTGCAACAGGTAGAGGAATTTGTCATCAAGTCTGATGACAACAGTTGGTTCCTGGGATCCATATACAGAAGAGAACTGATTCCTGGAAATAGTTCTCTATGCTCTACGTACATACTTTGGCATATCTCCCAATAAATCAATAAATTAAATTAAATTGAAAAATAAATTTTATCATTTACATAACTATACAAAAATGAGTCTTAACTATTAATTAAATCTAATAGACCGAATTACTTTAGGAGACATGTTTTATGTCTCTAGTTGACTTATTATTGCAATATGTTGGAATTCATATTGAAAGTATTTTAGCCTTGTTTATTTATTTAGAGATGGGCCTTACTATACAGACCAGGTTGATTTCAAATTTCTAATCCTCCTGCTTCAGTCTCCGTAGTGCTGGCAATACAAGCATAACCCCCTTGCCCTGAATTAACTATTGACTGACATATAATTTTTGGTAATTTACTATCAAACATTTTAATTTGTGACTCTCAATGCCAGAATGTTTGGCTTCTCCATCAGGAGTCTTCTTCCTAGATCCTGTTTAAAGTTGTGACCCATCTGGGTAGAGTCACGATTTAATTTAGGTTTCTGCTGTCACTCTGACATGCTGAAAAGTGTAGATAGCAAACACATTATGGTGTTCTGGAAGCTCAAATTTGCTTTTTGAACACATAGGTACTGTGGTGGGAGTGGTTTGTGCTACGGATAAAGATGAACCTGACACGATGCACACGCGCCTCAAATACAGCATCTTGGAGCAGAACCCACGGTCACCTGGGCTCTTCTCTGTCCACCCCGACACTGGCGTCATCACCACTGTCTCTCACTACATGGACAGAGAGGTATTGTCCTTACTATAGAAAGTCATTTCACTGTGGGTTTAACTCTCTCCCCACTTATTTTAACTTGCTATTCTGTTTTATTTTATTTGAATTATTATAAGAATATATGAATTCCTGGAATGTTTCATAGTTTTTAAGCATTATTTCTATTTCCATATGTAAAGAGAAACCTTAAGAAATAGAGTTTGATTGGTGTTTAAAAGGGAGGATGTAATCAATGTGCTTCTCAGGAAAACTATTGCATAGTATTTTATTTCCTTTAATGTGTGAGGTTAGTTGGTTCCAGAGCAGTGAAGGCTTCAGTAGTCACTCAAGGTGATAAGGCTTAACTTTTTTGGTGACTGTTGTTCTTATCCTGACCCCTATTCAGTCAGCCTACCCATGTGCAGTTTTTAAATAGAAAAGTGTTAGTTGGGAGTACAGAGGTTTTCGTTACCACTGCTTAATTTCGTATGTGATGAATTATCAAGCAATACTGTTTTAGTTGCGAAATACCAGATAACAACAATTTAAGGAAGGAGGGGTTTAGTCCAAGGATGTAGTTCATCAGGGCAGGAAGTCATAGTGGCAGGTCCCCTTGAGGCAGCTGGTCACGATTGCTCACAGTAGGAGAGGGGGAGATTCTGCTGCTCCACTCTTCTTCTGTGCTGCCCAGGGCCTGTCTGTGGAGCTGTCCTGCTGCCCACATTTAGGTCGTCTTCCCATCTCAGTTCATTCAAACTAGTAGCTCCCTCACATACAGACAGACCTGGATGCTTTTTCCATGGAGATTTTAAATTCCATCAGGCTGATGGTGGAGATTAATCATTACAACAACAAATGGGGAAGTTATAAGACATACTATGGGCATTTCTAGCATGTAAAATGGGCATTTTAATTAGTTGAAAACAGGGATCTCCCCCCTTTTACAGATTCAAATTGATGAGGCTAAGCAATATGACATAATTCAAGACTATGAGACTTGATTATTATCCTTTTAAAGGCCCAACTCACAGACCTGATCCATCTTCAGGTTGCAAACACAAATGCCATGGGACTCTGTGGGGACAGGCGCTTTGTGCAGAGCAGCATAGGGAGTGAAGACATGGATGAGCAAAGAGATGAACAGCACAGGCTACCAGTGTCTCCACGACTGCTGACGGGTGCCTCACTGGGAGAATGCTGACTCTAGTGAGAAAGGGAGTCTAACAGAAACAGGAGCCTGAAGGAGGAGAGGAAGACTCCAGAGGTGGAAAGAAGCAACGGAAGGGGTGGTTGCGGAAGAGTAAAACCAGAGCAGGCAACACTAGTGACTGTGTCTCTATGCTCAGCACATACTAAAGCCTTTTACCTTGCATTGATGGTTCTCATCTTGGCCCTTTGTCATTGGCATATTAATACTCTGCTTAGCTTTCTTTTCGCTGTGCCTTATCATGTCTCAGCTCTTCTCGTCATAACCTCTTCTGTATGGTTCTATCCACCCACCGGGAAGGGCGCCTGCCCATCACCACCTCCTGCCATGAGGGACGGACCACACAGTTAGGTGTTACTGCTTCTTGTTTATTAGATCTCATTAGGAAATAAAATCTTATGTGTGCAAAATAATCCAACAAACAAACAAACAAACCTGTCATGTTCCCAGCCCTCCTCCTCCTCCTCTGTAGTGTTGCTGCCCTTAGCGAGCTGTCTTGTTCTGGACTTCCCATGATGGCTGCTGGGGGCCTTGTCTACCTACCTAAATAACTTGGCCCACTCAATCTCCTTTTTAGCTCTCAAGTGAATAACTCATTATCAAATCCTACTCTACTCTAACTCCCAAGTACATTTCATCTCTTTCCCCCTTTGCTACTGTTTTTACTGTTTCAGGTTTGGACCACTTGTCTAATGTAGGGGTGTAGGGCCTCCCTACCTGTTCACCAATAACACTAGGTTAGGTTACTCTAGACCAGTGGTTCTTAGCTTTCCTAATGCTGCGAGCATTAATACGATTCCTCATGTTGTGAGGACCCTCAACCAATAAATTATTTCCATTGCAACTTCATAACTGCAATCTTATTACTGTTGTGAATTGTAATGTAAATATCTGTTTTCCCACAGTCTTAGGCAGCCCTGCGAAAGGGTCATTTGACCCCAAGGGGGTTCGACCCACAGGTTGAGAACCACTGCTCCAGACAATGCTAACATTTTTCTGAGTATTTTAAAATTCAAATGTCATTACTCTGCACTCCATCTCTGACTTTTTTGTTTTCTGTTAGAAAATGTCTACATTCGCAGTATGTCTCTTTGTAAAGTGTTACCTTTTCAGAATTACCTTTCTCTACTAAATTTTAAGAGTATTCCCAAACCTAGAAATCAAATAAAAACAAGCAAAAGAATGTGCAACACAGGTTTCGTTTATGAATCTAAACAAGTGTCTGAGACAACTAAACAATTATTTAATTTCAGGTTGTGGACAAGTACACACTGATCATGAAAGTGCAAGACATGAATGGCCAGTTTTTTGGACTGATCAGTACATCAACTTGTATCATAACAGTGCAGGATTCCAATGACAACGCGCCCACGTTCAGACAAAATGCTGTAAGTTCAGAACACACAAATCTATCTTTGTTTTGCTTATTTCAGTTTTCTAATGTGGTTTATCAAGTTCTTGGCATGCTTTGAGGCATGTGTTCATTTATGAATAAAACTGAACTTCAAATAAACTGTACACACATCTACACATGACTTCTGTTTCCAGATGTTATGATTTATGTTATCTACTCTTGTTGAAGGGCAATGACATCAGTCTACATATGTAGGAAATAGTCTTTGTCTAACAGTTTCATGAAACAATCCTCTCTGTGGTCATGCTTTTAGGTAATCTGTGTAAACACCACGACGACAAAGTTCTTTTGGAAATTAGGAAACATTTTACTTTGTGAAAGTTTTCTATAGTAACTTCATTTTTTAATGTTTTCTTTTCCTCCAGTACGAAACCACTGTGGAGGAGAACACATACAATGTGGAAATCCTGCGCATCCCCGTGGATGACAAGGACTTGGTTAAGAGTGCCAACTGGAAGGCAAATTTTACCATCTTAAAAGGGAATGAAAATGGGCGCTTCAAAATCACAACGGACCCAGTGACTAATGAGGGTGTTCTGTGCGTTGTGAAGGTAAAGAGACAAAGAATAGGAACTTTGGGCCACTTAGTGGATTCATCAACTAGACAGTTTCGGATCCTCTACTAGCCAAGTTGGTTAGTCTGATGGTTCCCATGTGACGCCTCTCTCTCTTTTCTCCTGTGTATGCCAGAATAAAGATCTCCACCTCTGAGGCACACCTCCCACCTTTTCTTTACAACTCACATCCTTGGGCCTTGGTTTATGTCTATAAGAGATACACAGGGTTTTTTTTTTAATGTTTCTGTGTCCATTTGCAACTTATGTTCTTTAGTAGGTATTCCTGGTGTAACTTAGAAGTCCCATATTCATCTCATTATCTCTAGGATATATGCCTGTTATCTTATCCCTAATAAGCAATTCCTAGGGTGAATACAGTATTACATAAAGCAGAACCGAATGGATGTATTTTATTGCATATATTGCTATTTGACTGCATGTTGTATTCTTGGTTTCAAGCTATAAGGGCAGAAAGGTCTTTTTTGACATTAACTTTTTTTAATTATTTCTAGCCTCAAATAAAAAAGATAATAGTGTCCTGTAGATGGATATTATGTCTCTTCAACGAGTAAGGGCCTCTTATCTATTGATGAGAATATAGTGTAATCTTGCTGGTTTTAGTTGTTTTCCTATGTGAGAGTTCTAAGGGGTTATATGTCAAGACCTGGAAGGTTCTGTCTAGATGGGAACAGTCAGATATGCAGTCTCAGTATCAGACGCCTATTTTTGCATGTCTCTGCTTTGCTGCTGGTTCACATTTGCTGTATTTTAGATAGAGTACAAAATTGTCTTCCCAGCAAACCTTAAATGTATTTATTTCCATTATCTATAACATGCCAATTTCAATTATATATATGTAAATACATAGAAATTTAGATTAGGCATAATTTATATTACTACATTTAGTGAATACATTTAGTAGCTAAAAATAAACAGTAGTTATGAACTGTGCATATTGTCATGACAGGCAATAAATGAAACTTTTTAAAGTATAACTTAACTTTAGATGTTGCTTCTCCTTTAGGATAAGGTATTAATATCCCCAACTCATAGTAATAGTAATAGATAATGATAAAATAAGCAACCTTATGGTGATGGAGGCAAATCAGTTTCTGAAAGGCAAATATAGCAATTATCCATCCTAGAGTGAAAACTTAGTTTATAACTTCCTACATCGGTGATCTCTCCATGACACCACGCCCCAGTAAGTTCATGGAGCAGAGTGGTCACATCCTGGTGACTGCTTGCACTCTCTACTCACAGAGCCCAGTTATATTCCAGTTGGTATCTGGGTAGTAAACCAACCCTGACAGTAAATTGCTATTTACCAAGTAACAGGCATATCGAGTGCTTACCTTGAACTATCTCATTTAATTGGCTTAAATGAGAATACACTATTTGCTATTCAACTTAAGAATCAATAAATTCCTTACTTACTTTAATTTGACTTTAATAGGTAGACTATTCATAAACTTAGTTTAAAACCGCACACAGACACGCAAGCATGCACATCTGCACACACACATGCACATATGCCTAAGCAGTCTTACTCACCTGTGGTAATTTGCACACGGTCGCCCTGTGACCATAATATATTGTAGAAAAAAACTATTATATATATGCACACACATATGTATATTTGTATGTATGTATGTATGTATGTATGTATGTATGTATGTATGTATCCCTACCCAAAAGGGAAAAAAAAACAAAATGAGGTAGTGATCTGATTATACTGAAAGAATGCTTCATTTCTAATACCTCATTTTGCATTGTTCATAAGGATCACATACTAGAGGTATACTTTAATCTTTCTTCTGTACCTGGTAGAATAACTGGTAGGCTAAATCAAGAATTAATTGGGTATATTTCTCTTAGTTGTCTAGAGCTTGCCAGTTTGTTTTGATCCGTATAACTTTGAGTGGAAAAAGTAGAGATCTTGGTGATTTTTATATGGAAGGTCCTAAATTCTACCTCCAAGATTTTCCAGGGAGTTTGTTAGCACTTCTATGCACATGTGGGATGTTTATGAATAAATTTTTAGTGTAATGAAGCAAACACATGCCTTAGTGTGGAGAGAACTTGTATTCCCTACCTCATTGACTTTGAGCCTACGGAGCTGGCAGGAAGATATTGCAGGACTGTAAGAAGCTGCTTGGGATCTGGCATTCAGCCAGAGGTGCCATGGTTACCTGCATGTCCCTCACTTCCTCATTGCCTGAAGTTGTCCTTGTTTCTGTATGGCCACCCCAACATATGATTTATGAGACTGTCCTTGGTAGCATCAAACAAACGGATCTTCATACTTCTTGCTTCCTGAGATAATCATAAAAATATTTTCATATGGATGCTATAGGTGCTAAGATTCATCAATATTTTTGACTTTTTAGAAGATGTATGAGTATTAGTTTCTCACCCTATTGATATGTAGGTGCAAGGACAGTGTGAAAACTATTTTATTTACCAT